TCCTTGCATTGTCATCTGCTTCGTCAAGGATCATTTGAAATGCTCTCGCCTTTGGCTTTGGTGGCACATTTGGCTTTGTAGCCCCTTCTCTCTTTGGGCAGTCTTGTTTGAAGTGTCCTTCTTCTCCACACTTAAAGCAGACTTCTCTCTTGGTTGTGCATTCGCTGGCGTAATGACCAGTCTTCCCGCATTTAAAGCATGTCGTATATTTAGAGCATTTCCCGATGTGCTTCTTTCTACACTTGTCACACCATTGCGTTCCTTCTTCAAACTTCGAGAATTTTCTCTTCTCGCTGGACCTTGAAGATCCTTCAAACTTTCTCTTCTCGCCAACCTCCATCTTGCTGGAGGCTCTTCCCTTGATCATATCTTCGACAGACTTGGCAGCCCAGATAGCTGCCTCTAGAGTAGGTGCTTGACGCACTGGCACCGCGTACTCCCATGGAAGTCCTTTGCGTACTTGTCGATTTTCGTCAGCTCATCCGGAACAAGACGCAAGGCGAACTCCATCTTCTCTGTGAAGTTGTTGGTGTATTCATCGATTGACATGCTTCCCTTCTTCAGGGTTAGAAACTGGTTCTCTAGCTCAAGCAGGTTTTGAGCTGAGCAGTACTTTCGTTTGAATTGCACCAGAAATTCTGCCCATGTCAGTTGCAGAGGCTCATTAGGGCTCAGAGTCTTCCCCAAGGTATTCCACCAACGTACAGCGCCTCCTCGAAACTGACGCACTGCAAATGTGGTCTGTAGCTTCCCTCTACAACCGCATGTCATGAAGGCTAACTCCATCTCCGAGATCCAATCCATGACCCCGATCGGATCCTCCTTTCCAGTGAAAGTCGATGGCTTGCAAGTCAGAAAATCCTTGTACTTGCATCCATTCCTCTCGACCTCGTCATCTTGGTTGTTTTGTCGAACTATTGGTGGGTTGACTTGACCAACAGTCCCACTGTAGTTTCCTTCCTCAGTCTGCCCTTCGTTCAACTCGGGCTGTTCGATCTGAATAGTGGCTTCCTCACGATTTTGCTGGAGCAAACGTCTAGTTTCCTCCATTTGACGATCCAACATCGCTTGGATCATCGCTTGCACTCCGGCCATTGTGACTGGCTCAGCGGCGGCTTCCATCACCGGTATTTGCTCAATCACTGGGGGTTGGTTTCTGTTCCCATTTGCATTCACGTTTCCGCTACGGGTTCTTGCCATCTTGATCTATACACCGAATAAGGTGAATCTAGATCTTTACTTAGGATTGACGGTTAAATCATCCTTATCACTCCGAAACGTTTATATGCTAGTTCTAATATCGTAGTCGTACGTTTAGAATCCTAAACACATAAGGTTTCCAGATCCGGTCGGCAACAGACCATAGATCCGAACAACTAACAGCATATCAGGCACAAGTATTTAGCACATAAAAGCATTTTAGGCATAATTCCTAAAATAATCTAGTGCTCACACCTCACAATCATCGCTTAGCATTCTAAGTTTAAGTCTAGAAATAAATCCATATTCCTAGTTCGCTTAAACTAATGCTCTGATACCAACTGTGACATCCCCAAAATCACGGCCAGAAAAGACCGATTTTGTTTATGCTTTATAAAAATCAGAGTACTTCATTTTATAAAAAGGTTGCGGAATTTGTTCCCAGAAAAACATGGTAAATACGTTATTAAAACATTTTCGAAGAAACGTATTTATTTCATTTTAAAACGTTTGGGATGTCATCGTTAATACAGGAACATAAGCATAAACAGAACTTACAATTATTCACACTAGTGGTCTACATCTCTTTAAATCTCTCAGTGTAATGTCACTTCATATCAACACCTGTGATATAAATAAACTGAGTGGGTCAGGTTGGGAAACCTGGTGAGCACATAGGGATTTCAATCCCACAATGTTATACCATATATATAGTTTAAAATTCACAAAATATACAATTTCACCATACATATATATAAACAACTCTTATCCCACCCCGTCGATCCTCGCAACGAGGCTATCCATACTCTCGGACCTAAGATTAGTCGTTTTACCTACTCCATACTCTCGGATCAGAAATGAACGAATTTACCAAATCCATACTCTCGGACTAGGGACGAATGACTAATCCATACTCTCGGATTAAAGATGAATGATTATGCCTAATCCATACTCTCGGACTAGGGACAATAGCTAATCCATACTCTCGGATTAACGACGAATGATTATGCCTAATCCATATTCTCGGACTAGGGACAATGACTATGTCTAATCCATACTCCCGGATAAGTGACATATACTAACTTCTATTCTCTGAGTTTAACTCACTTGTACTCGTAAGAATATACTACCCAATATTCCTCATATTTAATTTAGGTCTACTCTTTATCCTAAATTATCAAATATAATCAGGTATGTTCTTTAACACGAATTTCAAGCAACATCAATTAACTCGCACATAAACATATAATTAATACTTCAATCAATACTTGTATTAAAATCATGTTCATGAAAGGGACTATGCACTCACCTGAGAAGGTGGTGACTCGGTACTCGGACAGCGCTTCGTTTACTTTAAAATAATTTCCTTCGACGAAACCTAGTATTATCACCAATAGATTTTAGTCTATTATTCGCCGAGACTAATTAATAGTCTAGCTATTATTACTATTATATAAGCGTTAAAAAAATACTTATATAACCCATAATAATAGCCCAAGTATTTATTATATGTTCTTAATAACGTTAATATAATTAAATAAAAACTATATTAAAAATAGCGTAGGCGTAGCTCACTTACAGCGGGTTTTATAGAAAACCAGGCTTTGCTTGGAGCAGCGTTTCCGAGCCGAAAAGCTCTTCTTCTCGGAGCCGTCGAGCACTCCGGGGCTTCCGCCTCGTGCTAGGGAGGTTCCCTAGGCTTTTCGGGGGATTTCGGGGCTAGAGAGAGGTTCTAGAGAGAGAGTAAAGAGAAGAAAGAATGGGAAAGGTGTGAAGAAAATGAGGGTGGGAGAGGTGGTATTTATAGGGTGAAAATGGCTGAACTTGGTGCCACATGTCACCATCTAGTGGCAAGACTTGGGGAGAAAGCAATGGCCAAGATTGTGCCACATCACCCATTTTCGCACAACACACTTCCGACTTCTAAAATCCGTAACTTTCACATACGACCTCCGTTTTTGACGTTCTTTATATCCACGCGTAGGTAAAAATAATATCTACAACTTTCATTTTGACTCCGTCGGCTAATTCTCGACCGATCTTAAATTTAACAGTACGAGGCGTTTAGACTGTTAAATGACCGCGAAGAATTCGTAACTCCTTCATACGGACTCCGTTTTCGTCTGTCTTTTTACCGTTGAGTTCCTATTAATGAGATCTTCAACTCTCATTTATTTCACGTAAGCCAAAAACCGCTCGAACTAAAATTCGAGTTTCGGGCTGTACACTGCTAAGCCGAATCTTAGAAAAATCATAACTTCCTCATACGAAGTCAGATTTGGGCGTTCTTTTTATTGACGCTCTTAGTTTAACATATTCTACGACTTTTGTTTAGATTGCTAAGGCTAAAAAGTCTTCTATCGTAAATTCACTATTTACGTCTTCCGGTGCCGTACCGGTTTTGCCGGAAAACTTCGGCGGGCCATAACTTCTTCGTTATAACTCGGATTTCGGCATTCTTTATATGTACGGAAACCTTGTGACATATTCCAAAACTTGGTTAAGACTATTCATTCTAAATAATCTTTTGTCGAAAAGTCATTTTTGACCCCTATTGCCTCTAAATTGACTAGCCCGAATCTGCGGACGTTACATTAACTATTTGTTTAATCATTTTTTATTTACTTATTATGACTTCATAAAATATTTTACAGGAACAAAGAAGAAAAATAATCAAAAAAGAAAAGAAAAGCTGAAGATTCAGATTTTGAAACAAAAAATATTAAAAAAAGAAAGAAGAAGACTGTAAATAAGCATTTTGATATAACTTTCTTAATAACAATTTGTTTTAAATCAAATATGATTTAAAACATATCAGATTAATCAATCACATATAATTTTACTTATTTATGAATAAAATCATATATGATTTGAAAACATTTTGATTAATTTGTTTTAAATCAAATATAATTAAATTCACTAATTGTTTTGTTTGGTAATAGGAGCTCACCTGGAGCGTTGCTATCAGTCATCCAAGGTTTCAATACAATTCAAAAAGATTCTGTGAAACAAATGGGATTTGGTGCTCTATTAAAGATGAAAATGACTGAAGTCCGAGGGGTATTAAGTTGTTATGTTGTTGATAAATTTGATCCGACAAAAATGAAAATTATTTTTTGAGAGGGAGTTGAGATCGATGTGACACGAGAATCAGTGAATCAAATGCTAGGATTTCCTTTGCGAAAAAACAATTTTCAAAACTTCCATTTCGAAACAAATGATAAAAGTTATGATGAATGGGTTGAACAATTTGAAAACAAAAAAATGATCAGACTGCACGAGATTAAGATGAACATTGTCGCCTCAAACAATGCATATATGAACTTCTAGATGAACTTCATTGTCTTGTTGATCAACTTTCCTATAGAATCAAGCTCATGCGGAAAAGCAAACACATATCCCTTGAACTACATCATGAAGAATACAAACATAAGAAACATTGATTGGTGCTCCTACTTGCTTAATTATTTGGTTAAAACAAAACGATCTTTTGATCAATCCAGTCCAACAAGCAATTTTGTTAGACCATCTGCTTTTTTAGTGGTATGTTTAATAACTTCTCTTTTATTTAATAACAATTATAATTACATGTGGTTTAACCGTAAAAATGTTTTAAATCACATACGATTACGAATACATAATAATTTAATCACATATGATTATAATAACAATTTTTTTTCCAATTGCTTGATATTGATAGAGTCCATTACAGTGTAGTTAATGCTGAAAGAAAACGACCAATTATTTGTTACTGGACATCATAGAAAATGAAGCTTAGAGAAATTTACAAGAAAAAAATCATGAAGGAATTTGGTACAGTACATCTAAATGAAGAGTTTTTAGAAGAAGATATAAATCAGGAGGTAAAACTAAATATAGCAGTTATACAAAAAAAACTTCTCATTACTTAAAATTCTTAATGTTTAATATATATATATATATATATATATATATATATATATATATATATATATATATATAGGTAAAACTAAATATAGCAGTTATACAAAAAAAACTTCTCATTACTTAAAATTCTTAATGTTTAATATATATATATATATATATATATATATAATATATATATATATATATATATATATATATATATATATTGCTAATATAAACTTTAAATTATGAGCAAATAATTTTGATGAAAAGTAGGAAGTTCAATTCGTTGATTGAAAATGGAATCAATAAATTCCCAACAAGTGTAAGATTGCATCATTTGAAAAGTATGATGGATGAATTTTTTTAATAATGAAGATAATAATGTTGATGAAGAAAAGGGAAATGATGATGATGAAGATAATAAAGATAATGATGATAGTTGTGACAATGTTAAAGATAGAGAGAACAATGAAGAAGAAAACAATGGAGTTGAAGGTGCAAATGAAAATGAAACATAAAAGACTAATGAACGAGTGCACAATTTTGAATGAGGGGGTCAATTACATTTTCTAATTCATATTATTATTTTAATCTCTCTCTCTCTCTCTCTCTATATATATATATATATATATATATATATATATATTCACATGTGATTAATCACATATTTTATTTATATAATGGTTTTGGCGGAAATATGATAATATTTATAATAACAATATATTATATGTGTACATATAATAATCACACCTGATTACATCTCTTGTAATCAAATATGATTATATTCACATAACAATATAAATATATTTGTACAATATTTTTTTAATCACATATGATTACTCAATCACATATAATTATTAAAAATAACTTTTTACAATCAAATGTGATTAACTACAAATTTTATTACATGCAAATCACATTTGATTAACTACAATTTTTTATTATACGCAGATTGTGAGAAAGATGAAAATGGTAATAATGATCAAGGTTTGGATGACATAAATTTGCATGATAAAGGTGTTAAAAATGAAAAAGGTGGTTATAATGACGAAGAACAAAATGTTGAAGGAGAAGGTAAACAACAATATAGATTAATAAAGTAATCATATGTAATTATAATTTATGTAAACACATGTGATTTCATTCACAAAGTATTAATAATTTATTTTTAATTGTATTCAGGTGTGGAGGGGATGAATATAGAAGGGAAGAATGTTAAGAAAGTATAAGGAATAATTGGTGAAGAACCACAGAGAGTTGGAGAAGGTAAATATGAGTATATTCAAAATAACAATATAATATATTTGTACATATAATAATCACTTATGTTACATCTCTTGTAATCACATATGATTATATTCACATAACAATACAAATATACTTGTACAATACTTTTTTTTATCATATATGATTACATATATAATAATCAGATTTGATTACTTAATGTATAATCACATCTGATTAAATACGATGTAAGCATATATGATTAGATACATTGTAATCATTTGTGATTATAATATTAATAATTTTTTAACTATATTTAGGTGTGGATGGGAAAAATCTAGAAAAAATGAATGCTGAAAAAGGAAAAGGAATTACTGGTGAAGAACAAAGCAGTGTTAGAGAAGGTAAATATAAGAATATATTTCTAAGTTACAATATTACTATAAAATTATATGATTGAATATGTAATAATCACATGTCATTACATACGTTATAATCACATTATAGACGTTATAAACACATGTTATTACATACCTTGTAATCACATGTGATTATATTCACATATAAATATAATATGTTTTTGTAATTTATTCTTTTATTCATATATGATTAATAATTTTTTTTTAATTATATATCAGGTGTAGAGGGGAAAAATATGGAGGGGAAGATTGATGAAAACAAAGAAGGAAAAACAATATTAAATGTTGCTCAAAGTATTTTTGGAAACACATGAGAGTTTAACAGCACGCAAATATTAAATGATGATGAATTCGATTCCCTTTATGAAAAGACCATGAAAGAATACGATATTAGAAAGGAAAAGACTATGATGCCCTCATATGATCTCAAAATAAGTTAGCTGACACCTCCAAACATGAAAGAGGTTAATATTATTTTGTCTCTTTGTACAATATCATATCTTCATGAAGGTAATCACATATAATTTTATTATTTCTTAAACGTACAATCATATGCGATTAAAACTAATTATCACATTACTTAAACTTACATTCATATGTGATTAAAAAAAATTTAAAATTGTGATTTTAATATTTTTCTAACGGTTATAATCATATATGAATTGTAGAATACCGGTGAAGAAAAAAAATGAAGGTAAAAAAGAAAATGTGGTGAAAGATGTGCTAGATCCAAAAACAAAGACCCACCCAAAGGTAAAAATTGTGATTTCAAAAAATCAAAATAAAGAGTCTTTGTCTGAGCTTATAGAAATGCAAAATGTAACTTAGGAACCTCAGCAACAAAGAAATAAGAAGCCAACTGAAGTAAGGATACCTCCATATAAAAAGAGAGCCATTTTCTTGAAAACAAAATTAACAAAAGAAGGGGAAATGCTTGGTGAATGGTTGTTCCACTTGCAAGGAAGTGTAAAAAATATGTTAAATATACTTGTACAGCATTAATCAAATCACATGTGATTATATTTATGTACATAATACTATGAAATAACAATTTTTTTATATTATAGTGATCAACTGTTATTCACAATAAACAAAAGAGTGGTATTCCGATATGTATTTGAAAGTTTGTTTCCTGGAGAATATCTGTTAACACGTTGTCACACGCGTATTAAGCAAATAAATTTATCACTGCTGGTTGCACTAAAAATATAGCACTGGGAAGCAGGGTCGAATCCTCAGGGACACAGCCTAATGGTCAATGCCTTTTTGCATCAGGCACAATCTAGTCAAGAAACAGAAATTATAGAAGGGGGGTTTTAAATATACTAAAAACTAGAATTGCAGTGATATTAAACTAAATGAAAATCAATAATAAAAACGATTTCAGCTTTCCTGCGACTTTCCTGATCATGCAATCAATATTGACTTGGTTATTTGAGATGCGTTCTATCTAAGCTGGTACTGAGAAAAACTAACAAGCTCTAATAATTTCTCTTTTACCTTATTTAGCTAACCAAAACAAGCTCTTCAATTAACCCTAACTTTTTACTGTCTAATCAAATAAGCTCTTAATTAAGATCAGAAAAGTTGCATAAGATCTTTGTAAAATTCCTAGCAATATCCAATACTTCTCACAGGTTCGGAAGCGTAAATATATGATTTTTACAGTTTATACAAGATTTAAATCCCGGAACCAATCTGATACTTGTTACTTTTACCAATTAATTAGAACAATTACGTATTCTATAACTGATTAACTTGAATGATAAAAACCCTAGCTAGGTGATCAAACTAACAAGAATCAAAATCAAACATTCATTAAGAACAAAACTGAAGAATCTAGATAGAAACACAAATCAAAAACCAAATCTAATGATCAATCACATGAAAAGTCCTTGTCTTATGCAGAACTGAAAACTAGGGTTTAGCCAGACATGGCCAAACTCTTATAAAAATAGATGAAAAGAGACATCAAACAACTACTCTTACTAATCTACTTGAAAGAGATGATCCATAGTCTTCAGATCTTCATAAATTGATGAAATTAGAGAAGAAACACCTCCAAAATTGTATTTTCATCGTCTAGTACCTCTGGAATCGCCAACTTCGGTTACTGGAAGGCTATCAGGGTCTTTTTATACGTCCAGCAGCAAAAACGGCGCACCTGCGATCACATGTTTTGAAATAAATGCATCTGATGCCGTTTTAATGAAGTAGGATATTATTTTGACACTTTTTGGCCAACCAGCGATCTCAAGGAGACAACTTGCGATCGCAGGTTTTGACTTTTCACTTTCAGATGAATTTTGGGCACAAAAGAACCTCGAAGGCAACCTGTGACCAAACTTGTGATCGCAAAAAGGTCACCTACGATCACAAGAAGACAAACTGCAATCGCAGGTTGTGCCTATGACGAAGTTACGGTTCTCAAGATATGGTCAAAATACTGACAGGGGGTCAAAGCTGCCAGCAACATCCTTTAACTTTAGATTGCATATTCTATCTTCGTGTGATCAATTCGATCGAATGTGTTTTGACCAAATCATCTTGAAATCATTCCTCAACATACTCCATAAGTTCCAAGCTCCATTTTAAGCTCCAAACATGTATCCAACTGCTCCCAAAACACTGCTTCACTCGAACTATCTGAAATCGACATAAAAACACGAGCAGTACTGGAATTCTAAAGAAATACATTAGCTGAACATTATTTATCTAAATGACATGAAAATGTACAAAATATGATGCTAAAATGATAATCAAAACTACCCTATAAGATGCATAAAATAGCATCTAACAAATCTCCCTAAGCTTGAACCTTACTTGCCCTCAAGTAAGAAAAAGGATGTAACATTATAAACAAATGGAAAGATGTAGATGACCTAAAAATAACTTAAAATAAAATAAAATGAAAACTTAAACTAATGTACTTCACTTTTTTTTGTCAGATGATCAGATTTCAGAACGAGGAAGCTCCAATGAAATCACTACCTAGACAACAATCTCAATACTTTATATTAACGATTCACAGTTATATTTAATAAGTTAAACCAAACTTAAGCAAATAATTTTTATGCTGAATTTAATTTGTGAAAACAATGTATTTTTGAAAACAATTTCACGAAAATTCGTTTATAAAAACTTAGCTTGACCAACCCTTCCTTTTTTTCCGAACTTGTGTAGTAAACGCGATAAGCTCCATTATCGACAGAAAATCCAAGCTTACCCCTATGATTCCACTATCGAGGGATCAATCTCATTATACCACATATCTTCTTTGTCTTGATCAACTATTCAGATTTAACTTGTTTGCTTCTTGATTTCGACTGGAACTTGACTTGGATTTGACTTTGAATTGCAAATATCTTCAAATTGCTTGATATACCATTTCTAACATATATATTGACTGGACGAGGATTTTACTTTGAGGCCCACCATATCTTTAATACTTAAAAAAATGATAATAAATTGTGGGTATAACAAGAGTTCCCTCCTAACCTCAAAAGGCGTAGAAACTATATGGGTTTGTACTTCAAGGACTGATAAGGGTTATCCAATCTAGGTTCTTTTTAAGGCATTCAAGGAAATTATTTTCAAAACATTGTTCATTTTCCATACCACACTTCCATTGTAAAAATTATCTGACTCATACGTTGGTTCATATTGAAAACATTTAAAGCACTTAAAAAGATAATTGTTATTATTGATTATAATGAGACTGTTATTTTTGATAACTATCACACTTCATCTTAACTGGGCTATCGAATGTAAAAAGATATCCTCATCTCATGTATATTTCAATTTTTTTTGGTTTTTGGATTTTGATATGCAGAAAATAAAAAATAACTAGAAATAAAAATCTTTTTGGGTTTTTGATTTTTTTAAATGCAATGCATAAAATAAAATGCAAATAGAAAAATTAAATTTTTAAATTTTTAAATGAAAAACTGAAAAATTAAGTTTTTTTTTTAATAAAAATGCAAATATTTTACACTAAACCCCTTCCCAAGCTTAAAATGATGCATTGTCCTCAATGCTTAGCGAGGAATGAACAACTCAATAAAGAATATAAGGGCAAAAAGGGTTGCAGCTAGGAATGAATGTACCTGATAAGTTGGTAGAAATCTGATTTTGACGATAATATGGCAAAAAATCTGAATTTCAGCAACTTTGAAGATCCTCTGATTTCCCCAAACTTGCTTGGAACTGTGACCAACTCTTTATTGAAAGCATAAAAACTAAAAATTACTCATCGGGTTGCCTCCTGGAAAGCCGCCCGTTTTTAAGGTTGTTGGCTCGACCATGCCTAAAGACTAGATTACCTGTACGTAGAGATTTTGGCACAAAACAATTAGTAGTACCGTGTCCCCAGCAACAGCTCCAATTTGTTAACACTCTGTCGCACGCGTATTAAGAAAATAAATTTATCACTGCTAGTTGCACTAAAAATATAGCACTGGGAAGCAGGGTCGAATCCTCAGGGACACAGCCTAATGGTCAATGCCTTTTTGCATCAGGCACAATCTAGTCAAGAAACAAAAATTATAGAAGGTGGGTTTTGAATTATACTAAAAACTAGAATTTTAGTGATATTAAACTAAATGAAAATCAATAATAAAAACAATTTCAGCTCTGCTGCGACTTTCCTAATCATGCAATCAATATTGACTTGGTTATTTGAGATGCGTTCTATCTAAGATGGTACTAAGAAAAACTAACAAGCTCTAATAATTTCTCTTTTACCTTATTTAGCTAACCAAAACAAGCTCTTCAATTAACCCTAAATTTTTACTGTTTAATCAAATAAGCTCTTAATTAGATCAGAAAAGTTGCATTAAGATCTTTGTAAATTTCCCAACAATATCCAATACTTCTCATAGGCTCGGAAGCTTAAAGATATGACTTTTACAGTTTATACCAGAGTTAAATCCCAAAAGGAAACCAATCTGATACTTGTTACTTTTACCAATTAATTAGAACAATTACGTATTCTATAACTAATTAACCGGAATGATAAAAACCCTACCTACGTGATCAAACTAACAAGAATCAAAATCAAACATTCATTAAGAACAAAACTGAAGAATCTAGATAGAAACACAAATAGAAAACCAAATATAATGATCAATCACATGAAAAGTACTTGTCTTATGCAGAACTAAAAACTAGGGTTTAGCCAGACATGGCCAAAATCTGATAAAAATAGATGAAAAGACACATCAAACAACTAATCTTACTAATCTACTTGAAGGAGATGATCCACAGTCTTCAAATCTTGAGAAATTGATGAAATTGGAGAAGAAACACCTCCAAA